GGTTATTTGGGGGCTGCTGTCTACCATCCACTACCACAGGGACGGTAGTACCTCCCTGGGTGGCTGCTGTCTACGTCCTAACACCTAGTATTATATAATATATATATATTATATATATATATAAATATAGGGAGGTATCACCTCTAGAACTGTTGTAGGGACCCTCATCCTCAGAGAAAAGAATAAACTTGCTTCAGGAAAACTCAATATTCTCCCTGAAGCTGTTTGAGAATTTTCTCCTACCAACCCTATATTATATATATATATATATATATTATATATATATAATATATATATATATATATATATATATATATATATAATATTTATATATATATATATATATATATATATATATTATATATATATATGTATATATATGTATATATATATATATATATATATATATATATATATATATATATATATATATATTAATATATATATATATATATATATATGTGTGTGTATAGATATATATATATATTATTTAAAGACAAAATACATTGACAGAACATTCACAAAATTACGATACAAAGTAAAACAACATAGGTAACTCAGAGCTATATCTCGAATACTTCGTCCAGCTCCCCGGCGGCGGGCCGCGTGCCCAGAATGCTGCAGGAATTTCCTGTCTGGATCGCAACACTGAGTCTCTGGAAGAGGAAGCTGGTCGCCTTGTGGTCCTTTGTTTCTATGATGAGCTTTTCACCCAGCTCTATTAGGAACTTTAGAGCACACTTGCCCCGTGCTCCAAGGGTCTCTGACCCTATTGGGATGAAGTTATAGCAAGGGGGAAGGTCTTCATATTTGCGGATCTTCTGAGTCTCCCTGTGGCTGGCAGCTCCACCCCCTTCCACTACGGAGTATGGCAAGTAGGTGTCTGCCAATGTGGCGGCACATGTGTAGTCCCAGGCAATCTGCTTTCCATCCTTCCAAGGTAGCATAGTGGCTCCATCAGGACGCTTTAGACTTCCGTCAGACCTCTGCACTTGGGGTTCCCGTTGAGCTGGGCAAGGGCTGTGGCGAGGCTTCTCTTTATGATATCATTGACCTCCTCATGCCTGGCATACTTCCCTTCTGCTGTGTGACACACGAGACCATGAAGTCCGAATTGATCAGCTGTCGCCCTGCCGCAAATACACCTATGTTCGGTGAGGATGGGGGCGGCTAGGCGAAGAGCAACACCAATCCGAATGGCCTGTGGGTCTAGTCCAGTGCCCAAGGAGGAATTGGGAACAGCAAACAGGAAATCTCCTGAGTGTGGTGCCTTCACTGCCAGGAGACGAGCTTTGTCCTTTCCTGAGGCGTTGGAGAGCATTGTGTTGGCGATTTTTTCCATGATCGGTTTGTCCCAGTGGGACTGTTTGTGTTCTTTGGGAGGAGCTGGTCTACTGGAGGAATCTGTAAGGGTGTTCCACCGAATCGCTGCTTCAGTAAACCTGGGGTCTTGAGCTCCTACCATGTCTCTCAAGCGTTCGGGAACAATCTTCTTGACTAAAGCACTGGAAGCCAAACATGAAGACAGAAAAGCAGGTAAAGCAACATGCGTTGCTTTGCGCACCCCTATACCTCCCAGTCGCACTGGGAGGGTTGCCTGATCCCATTGCTGATCCTCTAGTGACAGGTTCAGTGCCTTCTTAAGGGTTGACCTCAGGTGTGCGTCATATTCGTCGAGTGTTGGGTTGTCAAAAGAGGGTGCACACCTGAGGAAGTAAGTGAGTCTTGGAATAGTAAGGCACCTTGTGAGGAGATACAGAGCATCATGGGCATCAAGATTGCTTATTCTCTCCTCCATTCTCATCAGGTCATTCAATTTGTCCTTGAGGACTGTGTCGATGGCCTGGTGACCCAGCGGTGCTCCCAAGAGGGTACTGTTGGACGGAGTGGTAGTAGAGACTTCTGGGAGGATTCTTCGCACAGCATTGATTATTTCCTGGTTTGCTGTGATGATTTCACACTTGGAGGGATTGAGGATGAGTCCCAAGTCTTCTCTCTGTGTTTTCACCAGTTGTAGGTCCCCTACCAGGGACTCTTCAGTACCTGCCAGAGAGCCATCATCCAGGTACCAGATATTGAGCTCGCTGCTTAGGCTGGAAGTTAGTTCTCTTACTGCCAAGCAGAAGAGAAGTGGAGCTAGTGGGTCACCCTGCTGAACACCTTCTGATGAGAGAATTTCATGTTCTCCAAACAAAAGAATTGAGGGTTTGCTGTAGCCGGCAGAAATGAAGGGAAAAAGACTGGGGAAGCGATCCCGAACAGCTGGCAAGACAGCATCTCTCTTTACCATATTAAAGGCATTTCTAAAGTCAAGTTTGACTACGGCCTTGTCTTCTGGTAGGTCCCTGATGTATATATATATATAAAATATATATATATATATATATATATATATATATATATATATATATATATATATATATATATATAAACTAGGTAGTAGGTTGGTAGACAGCAACCGCCCAGGGAGGTACTACCGTCCTGCCAAGTGAGTGTAAAACGAAAGCCTGTAATTGTTTTACATAATGGTAGGATTGCTGGTGTCCTTTTTTTTTCTGTCTCATAAACATGCAAGATTTCAGGTACGTCTTGCTACTTCTACTTACACTTAGGTCACACTACACATGCATGTACAAGCATATATATGTATATATACACACCCCTCTGGGTTTTCTTTTATTTTCTTTCTAGTTCTTGTTGTTGTTTATTTCCTCTTATCTCCATGGGGAAGTGGAACAGAATTCTTCCTCCGTAAGCCATGCGTGTTGTAAGAGGCGACTAAAATGCCAGGAGCAAGGGGCTAGTAACCTCTTCTCCCGTATAAATTACTAAATTTAAAAAGAGAAACTTTCGTTTTTCTTTTTGGGCCACCCTGCCTTGGTGGGATACGGCCGGTTTGTTGAATATTAATATATATATATATATATATATATATATATATATATATATATATATATATATATATATATATATATATATATATATATATATATAATTATATATATATATATAATATATATATATATATATATATATATATATATATATATATTTATATATACGCGAGCAAGCGATAAAAGATGCAAAACAACTACAGGGGAAGTTGAATGATAGGTCTAGGCCTTTCGTGTTGCAATTAACGCGTCATCAAGAGCTTGCAATGTTATAGAAGTTAGTAGATAGTCGTTGCACATCAGTTGAGGGAAAGTTTGTAGCTCGGTTCCTGCTATAAACGTTCATATACGTACATATATATATATAGGTGAAGCAGCAGTAAGAGACATTGTGATGAAGATAGATTATTCACATTTTTTGTTGTGGTATTATTGCTCGTTTTCTGTGAGACTAAGTGTATCGATCGTTATATTCAGCGGGGAACTATAACAATTGATGTTCACTTTTTGATTGACACTTGTGGAGAACAAAGAACAACATACTTTCCCAGACACTACTCACTCAGTCAACTATTATACTCATCTCATTTTTTCTCTCGCAAAACAATGAATAACAACAAACAGTCTATTCAATAATACTACGGGATGAATGCAATTTTTTTTTTCGCGGCCACCCTGAAAGGTCCTTTGGAGGTGGGGAAGGAGGGGTTGGGGCGGGGGAGTGAAGGCTGGAATCGTGCCTCAGTTACCTGTTCTTCTTGAAGTAATTACTTTATTGCCGGCAGCTGTTGGTCTTATGTGTCTGGTTATGTGTCTTGGCTTCTTAGTGAGGTGACTGAGTGTTCACTGCCACATGAGGATCACAGACACTTAGTCAGGGTCATAAGAGACAATCTTCCACTATGGCGACTCTCAGCAATCACACAAGAATCGATTCCAGTTCACGTGACGTCATCAGTAGCTATGGCAACCCCACAGGTCCCCCGTAGGCTCCCTTCCCCCACCCCTGTGACGTTTACACCCAGCAGCCAATAGCAGCACTCCATGATGTGTCGGAACAACGAGTGCTGCAATATGATTGGGCGGACGATTCCCAGTCTTGAAGGCTTCATATGGAAGTTGTGGTCGCCTGGAAGAGCCCGTGAGAGCCTGTAGTGGTGGAATGTGCTGCGGGACACCTTGACTTGTGCTAGTGTAAACACAGCGCTACACAGGACTACCTCCACCCTGCTATTTTCTTAACAACCACCAACACATACCAGAGGCCTTTAGAAACTGCCATGGGACATAGCGCGGGGGAGTGGAAGAGGCAGCACTAGGCAGGCAATCCCAGTGTTGACTGTGGCAGCCATCTTGATCTAGTGTAGGGCAGACATGGAGGGTGGCTGGCAGTGAGCTGCTACCTCTGTTTGTGGTGACGGTGGGGAAAAATCGCCAAGGTGGAGACTCCAGGTATCATCTCGTCCCTGTCTAAAGTGTTCACCATGGGAACGGTGCTCAGTTTTAGCCCGAGGGAGCAGAAACCCTACTACGGCGACTACACTTTGAACAACCACAACTATGAGACGCTCAACAACGTTAGAAATAAGGAGAAAGTTATCAACAATGAGAATGCCAACATTCTCAGCGAGAAGAATGCCCTGGAGAGAAACTTTAAGAAACACTCTTTATTTATCAATGCTCTCAGTTGGAAGCGCTTCTCCAACACCAACAAGAAGAAGCTTGACAACAAAAACAAAAATCTGACCTTGCGTCAGCCCCTAGACAACATCCACCCATTCATTGACAACAACAAGAACATCCAGAAGGCGTTGTCATGCTACAACATCCGGCCCAGCTCCATGGGCCAGCTGGATCTGGTCCGAGTCAACAACAACAATGCTCACACGCCCACAGAGAAGCTACCACCGAAAGCTACCCTCACCTCAGCGCCCTCCACACACACCCATGACCTCCGCAACGCCTTGGTTCCCTCCCGACCTCTGACACACCAGCAGCAGCAGCAACAGCACCACAAGCCCCAACAGCAGCAACAGCATCAGCAGCAGCCCCAGCTGGGGCCTGTGTTGGCGCCCACACTCTCCACCACCAGCAGCGCCAGCAGCGGTGGCTGCGCCTCTACTGCTACTACTCCTACTGGTGTGAGTCCCACCAAGAAGACGGTGATCCAGGCCTCTACCTCAGAACTGCTCAAGTGCCTGGGTCTCTACCTGCATCGCACCTGCTCCCGCTTGAGGGACTTCCAGGCTGGCGACGCCGTCATGTGGCTGAGGACAGTGGATCGTTCCCTGCTGGTGCAAGGATGGCAGGTACGTCTCCTCCTTTACTAACCTCAACTCATTCTTCATTACAGCAAACCAAAACACTATAAAAGGGCAGACAAATCCAAATCTTACTCTCATGAAGCCAGCACCGCAACCTGATTATCTGATCATGGAAAGTGGACACTTGTGCAGTCTAAAGTGCTCATGGGTGTCATGCATTGAGTGGGTGGGTGGGTGGAATCGTCCTGCCCTCTAAATCACATTGTGTTTTGACTCACGAAATCGTAATGACACGATTGCAGACAAACCATACCACGGGTGGGGATGTTTACAATGCTTAAGATCAAAGACCATTTATCACCTGACCTTTAATGCATACAGTCTTTTTGTAATAAAGTTGGTAGAATTACCGACAATATGTAAAGTAAAAAGACACAAGTGCAACTAATGTGACATTTTATTGTGGCAACGTTTACCTCTCCAGGAGCTTTATAAAGCTTGATAAAGCTCCTGGAGAGCGAAACGTTGCCACAATAAAATGTCACATTAGTTGCACTTGTGTCCTTTTACTTTACATACAGTCTTTTTATCTGTACTCTCTGACACTTCCAGACCTATCACCTCCTGGAGTCTATGACACTTCCAGACCTCTTACCTTCTGGAGTCTCTGACACTTCCAGACCTCTTACCATCTGGAGTCATGACACTTCTAGTCCTCTCACCTCCTGGATTGTATGACACTTCCAGACCTTTCACCTCGCAGAATTTATGACACTTCCAGACCTCTCACCTCATGGAGTTGCTGACACCTCCAGACCTCTCACCTCCTGGAGTCTATGACACTTCCAGACGTCTCATCTCCTAGATTCTATGACACTTCTAGACCTCTCACCTTCTGGATTGTATGACACATCCAGACCTCTCACCTCCTGGAGTCTATGACACTTCCAGACGTCTCATCTCCTAGATTCTATGACACTTCTAGACCTCTCACCTTCTGGATTGTATGACACTTCCAGACCTCTCACCTCCTGGAGTCTCTGGCACTTCCAGACCTCTTACCTCCTGGAGTCTCTGACACATCCAGACCTCTTACCACCTGGAGTCTCTGACATTTCCAGGCCTCTGACCTCATGCAGTCTCTGACACTTCCAGCCCTCTTACCTCCTGGAGTCTCTGACACATCTAGACATTTCCTGGTTCTTGTGATATATTAAATCCTATCACTTTCTGGCTTCCGTGATACATTCAGGCCTTCGACCCTCTGGGTTTTGTGACACTTTCATATGTGTCACCTCTAGACTCACGTGGCACTTAAAGCTTCTAACTTCCTGGTGTTTGCGACAATTGCAGTTATAACTTCCTGGTGTCCGTGACATTTGCAGTTACAACTTCCCAGTGTCCGTGACACTTGCAGTTATAACTTCCCAGTGTCTGTGATACTTGCAGTTATAACTTCCCAGTGTCCGTGACACTTGCAGTTATAACTTCCCAGAAAAATCGTGTTTGCAATCGTGTCATTACGATTTCTTGAGTCATAACTTCCCAGTGGCCGTGATACTTGCAGTTATAACTTCCCAGTGTCTGTGATACTTGCAGTTATAACTTCCCAGTGTCTGTGATACCTGGAGAGGGTTTCTGGGGTCAACGCCTCCGCGGCCCAGTCTGTGACCAGGCTTCTCGGCGAACCAGGCTATTGCTGCTGGCCGCACACAAACTGGCGTACGAACCACAGCCCGGCTGATCAGGTACTGACTGGAGGTGCCTGTCCAGCGCCTTCTTGAAGATAGCCAGGGGTCTATTTGTATTCCTCTTATGTATGCTGGGAGGCAGTTGAACAGTCTTGGTCCCCTGACACTTATTGTGTTGTCTCTTAGTGTACTCGTGGTGCCCCTGTTTTTCAGTGGGGGATGTTGCATCTACTGCCCAGTCTTTTGCTATCGTAGAGAGTGATTTTCGTGTGCAAATTTAGGACTAGTCCCTCTAGGATTTTCCAAGTGTATATTGTCATGTATCTTTCTCGCCTTTGCTTCAGGGAATACAAATCAAGGGATTTCAACCGTTCCCGTTAATTTAGGTGCTTTATCGTACTTATGTGTGCCGTGAAAGTTCTTTGTACATTCTCCAGATCTGTAATTTCAACTACCTTGAAGGGGGCCGTTAGTGCACAGCAATATTTCAGCCTAGAGAGAACAAGCGATTTGAAGAGAATCATCATGGGCTTGGCGTCCCTAGTTCCGTCCTATCATTTTCCTAGCAGACGTGCTAGATAGATTGTTGTTATCTTTGAAAGTGAGATCCTCTGACATTATCACTCCCAGGTTCTTCACATTAGTTTTTCGCTGTATTTTGTGATTGGAATTTGTTTTATATCCGATACAGTTTTAATTTCCTAGAGCTTTTTATATCGGAGTAATTAAAATTTCTCTTCATTGAACTTCGCATTGTTTTCCACTGCCCATTTAAATATTTGGTTGATGTCCGCATGGAGTCTTGCAGTGTCTTTGATGGATGACACCGTCATGCAGAATCGGGTGTCATCCACAAAGGAACACACGGTACAGTGGCTTTCGTCTCTGTCTATGTCAGATATGAGGATAAAGAACAGGACGGAGGCGAGTATTGTGCCTTGTGGAACCGAACTTTTTACTATAGACGCCTCAGACTTTACTTTGTTTACTATTATTCTTTTTATTCTTTTTGTTAGGAAGTTACAGATGCATCTACCAACTTTTCTTATTATTCCTTTATCACGCATTTTGTGCGCTGTTACACCACAGTCACACTTCTCGAGAGCTTTCGCTTAATCTGTGTATACTACATCTGCATTTTGTTTGTCCTCCAGCGCATCTAAGACCGTGTCATAGTGGTCCAATAACTGGGGCAGACAGAAGAGGCCTGTTCTAAACCCACATTGCCCTGGGTTGTGTAACTGATGGGTATCTAGGTGGGTGGCAAACTTGCTTATTAGAACCTTTGCAAAGATTTTTATGATATGGGATGTTAGTGCTATCGGTCTGAAATTCTTTGCAATTGCTTTACTGCCACCTTTGTGGAGTGGGGCTATGTCTGTTGTTTTTAGTGACTGTGGGACGACCCCCGTGTCCATACTTCCTCTCAATAGAATGCTGAAACCACGTGATTATTATTATAATCAAAAAGAAGCGCTAAGCCACAAGGACTATACAGCTGAAACCACGTGAAAGGGACTTTTTGCAGTTCTTGATGAACACGAAGTTCCACAAGTCTGCGTCTGGGGCAGAGTGCATGGTAATACTTACAGTTATAACTTCCTGGTGTCTGATATAGTTACAACTTCTCATTGTCTGTGATACTTGCAGTTGTAACTTGCCAGTGTCTGTAATACTTGCAGTTACAACTTGCCAGACCTCTCATCTCACTGTCATTTTAAGAAGTGCTCCTCTCACGTCTCCTCGTTTACACCTCCCAGCACCTCACTGCAACCTACTTCCAGATTTTAGATGAGAGCAACAATAAAACTTCTTCAGAAAAGAGAGAGGAGAGAGAGAGAGAGAGAGAGAGAGAGAGAGAGAGAGAGAGGAGAGAGAGAGAGGAGAGAGAGAAGAGAGAGAGAGGAGGAGAGAGAGAGAGAGAGAGAGAGAGAGAGAGAGAGAGAGAGAGAGAGAAGAGAGAGAGAGAGAGAGAGAGAGAGAGAGAGAGAGAGAGAGAGAGAGAGAGAGAGAGAGAGAGAGAGAGAGAGAGAGAGAGAGATAAGAAGACATTTTTATATTTAAGGAATTATTGAAAGCAATCTCACTTTGAGGTAGTATGTTGCATGCGGCAGCGAGGGGAGGAACGTGGCTGGGAGAAGGGTGCGTCCCCTCTTGATAAAAGACAAGCTTAAAGCTGGGGCCAGAAACCAGGGAGAGAGACAGACAGAGAGAGAGCATCCATCAGTCCATACTGAGGCTAACTGCTAGGTAGTCCACAACTGATAGCTATAGATCTGTGTAGAGACAGCAGAGCAGCAAGCTGTCTGCTTCAACTCCACTCACACTCACTCTGCCCACACATTACTGCTTCTGTAACAGCCAAGTTGAAGACAAAGTTTGACTTCTAGTGTTACTGATAACTCTAGCAGTACTATTACTAAAGAGCTAAGAGTTATATTACTATCACTACAGAGTTCATAGTACTATTACTAGCATCACTACTTATAGTACTGCGACTACAACAAGGTATGTCAGTCACTCATAGTGCTGATACACTTACACCAGGCTAAGTGTATCAGTGCTGATACACTTACACCAGGCTAAGTGTATCAGTGCTGATACACTTACACCAGGCTAAGTGTATCAGTGCTGATACACTTACACCAGGCTAAGTGTATCAGTGCTGATACACTTACACCAGGCTAAGTGTATCAGTGCTGATACACTTACACCAGGCTAAGTGTATCAGTGCTGATACACTTACACCAGGCTAAGTGTATCAGTGCTGATACACTTACACCAGGCTAAGTGTATCAGTGCTGATACACTTACACCAGGCTAAGTGTATCAGTGCTGATACACTTACACCAGGCTAAGTGTATCAGTGCTGATACACTTACACCAGGCTAAGTGTATCAGTGCTGATACACTTACACCAGGCTGAGTGTATCAGTGCTGGTACACTTACACCAGGCTGAGTGTATCAGTGCTGATACACTTACACCAGGCTGAGTGTATCAGTGCTGATACACTTACACCAGGCTGAGTGTATCAGTGCTGATACACTTACACCAGACTGAGTGTATCAGTGCTGATACACTTACACCAGACTGAGTGTATCAGTGCTGGTACACTTACACCAGGCTGAGTGTATCAGTGCTGATACACTTACACCAGGCTAAGTGTATCAGTGCTGATACACTTACACCAGGCTAAGTGTTTCAGTGCTGATACACTTACACCAGGCTAAGTGTATCAGTGCTGATACACTTACACCAGGCTGAGTGTATCAGTGCTGGTACACTTACACCAGGCTGAGTGTATCAGTGCTGATACACTTACACCAGGCTGAGTGTATCAGTGCTGATACACTTACACCAGGCTGAGTGTATCAGTGCTGATACACTTACACCAGACTGAGTGTATCAGTGCTGATACACTTACACCAGACTGAGTGTATCAGTGCTGGTACACTTACACCAGGCTGAGTGTATCAGTGCTGATACACTTACACCAGGCTAAGTGTATCAGTGCTGATACACTTACACCAGGCTAAGTGTATCAGTGCTGATACACTTACAACAGGCTAAGTGTATCAGTGCTGATACACTTACACCAGGCTAAGTGTATCAGTGCTGATACACTTACACCAGGCTAAGTGTATCAGTGCTGATACACTTACACACAGGCTAAGTGTATCAGTGCTGATACACTTACGCCAGGCTAAGTGTATCAGTGCTGATACACTTACACCAGGCTAAGTGTATCAGTGCTGATACACTTACACC